CAAATTAATCGTAGCTGGGAGATAATGCATACTCTACATATATACGAGATAAATTGTAGAGATGACTATTCGAATTCGAATCGAATCGAATTAAATTTAATGTAATTCGATTCGATTCGAATAATTCGAAAATTTCGAATCGCGAAAATTCGAATACGAATCAAATACATTTATTATTAGCGTTTATTATGCGCGCATTAGCTATAAAACGGGCCCCATTTGGGCCTGTATGTTTGAACCCTTAACTTGTAATTAACTTAACTTATAATTAATAACTTAATTAATATAAATTTTAGAACTTTAAATATTTAAATATATATTTTACTTTAAGATGATATTACAATATCGATATTCCCTTTCATATTAAAATCTTCCATCATTATTTGCATGTTTAATAGTCATGTTAGATTTTTTAATGATTCGATTCGATTCGAATTCAAATGAAATTTCATAGATCCGATTCGATTCGAATTCAAATTTAAAAAGTGAGATTCGATTCGATTTGATTCGACATAAAAATTTTTGATTCGCACATTTCGTATAAATTGAGACGGTTTTTAATCAACGTCGTCTCGTTCTCGGATAATGTTATGTACTTTCTGTCTTCTTCGCGTATTTGTACACATCGAGATTGTGCGCACGAAATAAGCCGTGGAATATTAATTGAAAGGTTAATCGTACGTGGCGCAGTTAGGCGGACGTTTGTGTTCAGATAACACTGGGAGCTTCGAAGACGGCGCGGATAAAAAGAGCGGCGCAGCGCAGCGACGTATCAGGCTTTAATTTTACAAGAGGTACACGCAAGGATTACAGAAATTATCAAGTACGTCGTAAGCAATTAGTATGCAATGCCATGGTCGAGCGATCGCAATGACGGCAATGATAGCGAACGATAAAAAAAAGATGAAACATATAAAGAGAGGGAAAAAGGGGGTCATATTTTGCGCTCTATTTTTAGCGGGAATCGGAAGACCGACGGAATTCCATCTTCCGCCGCTGCTGTGCGGAAACACGGCGAATTTATTCGCGTCGTGTCGGTTTTTCGCGCGTAACATTTTTGATTAATTTTTTCCCTTTTCTATATAAACTTGCGAGGGGAAAAAATTGTCGCGTCCCGAAGCGGCGCGATTTACCCGACGCTGTGTGTCAAGCCTACGCATATTATTATTATAACAAGTAAGTGAATTGAAACGGGACTGACGGGAGTCCAGGCTATGTGTGGAATTGAATTCCGGCGAGATTAAATCCTTCAAAATCAGCATTTGATCTGAAAACGTGCATGTGTGCTCCTTTTTGCACCCTCCTGTTCTAATTGCTCGAATTACTGTCTCTCCGTCAGCCCGGACTTACTGAGAATATCCGGCGGGATGATTTAAATTGTAAACAATGAGGCAACTCTCTTGCCTTCGCTGCCTGCCAGCGTCATATTTCTAATCGCAGGCTTCAACTTGCGAAGAAACGCGATATCGACCCAACACTTCGAGAGAGAAGAAGTTCGGAAGGACGGCCGTATTGACGAACGTCATCGAGAACGAGGCGCGCGTATCGACGAACGAATTGTTGCCACGTATTCCTGGAGAATTCGTTGACGTTAATTGAAACGCGCGGGGCTAATCGAAAGGGAGCGATCGCGGAAATGAATCGCCGACAAAGTCGCGCGACAATGTGTCTCCGACAATCCGTCTAAACGGCGAGGAAAGAGCGTAGTGAGCGATCGATAGCCGATCGAATTAACGAAACGCGCGATTATTAGCGGGTAATGGAAACGTCTTGTTCGAGAAGTTAATAATTACACAGCGAATGGTAGGAGGAGAAAGGCGTCTGGTCGTCAGCCTGGTGGTTCGCCTACTCGTCGACAACAATTCTCTCTTGTCGGCTTTCTCCGCTCTTCGCGAAGAGCCCGGGGGGTCAGAAGATGCAGGTAAGTGTGCAGGTAAATGTGCAGGTGCAGCAGGTAAGCGCGACTATGTTGAAATGCATCGACTCGCGAGCGAACTGCTACTGGTACGTGATTCTGGCCGATCGAGTGTGAAAGATGCACGATTAATTAATGCGACGTTTCGAGATGAGGCGAGGCGAAGGTGTCGAGTCGGTCGAGAAGGTTCGCCGTGCTTATCAAATCAAATGGAAAACGAAGTTATATCCGATGTCGAAAGATTATTTTCACGGATAAAATGAGCTGCATCGACTGCTCGGAGCATTTTTTCAGCCACCCGACTTCTGTTTTCCTCTTAATGTCCAAACTATTTACGAGCATTTAATTTTTTTGCACCGACTCCAGCAGTCGCTCTAACGCGCAAGGGGTTGAGAGAAAAACAACAGCGAATTTCGTTGAATTGCGCGTATTACTGTTTTCCCGATCGCGAGCTACTCGAATCGAGTCCTCGTCGGCATTGTAACGATTAATGTAGTAATACCTGTAGGAGACGCGAGACATTTGTAAGATATGGCGTTTAAAATTAAATTGCTCGAAGAGGAGTCAGCTTTATCTTCCCTTACAGAACAATAGTCTAAAATTTAATATCACTCACGGGGTCCACTTTTATCCTGAAGAGTAAACACATCATCGCATCGCCGGGCGTTCGTATAATATGCAATACACCGCATGCTGAGCAGATAATATCCGTGCCGGGAAAGAGGAAACTTTTAATAACACTATTAGCGGGACAAGGAATCGACGAATCGAATCGTAATAAAATTGCGCAGCGGAAAGAGCTCGAAGGTTCTCAACCGATCTTTTCTCCCTTTTCCGTATCTTTTCTTTGCGCATCGCTCGTCGTAGAGAGAGAGAGAGAGAGAGAGAGAGAGAGAGAGAGAGAGAGAGAGAGAGAGAGAGAGAGAGAAAGGAAAAGAGAATAATGACTCTTCCTTTCGTCCACGTTGTGTCGCAAATTAGCGAAGGATGCGAATTAAAGAGATAGTTTGACACCGTGTAGGATTTTTATCATTCCCGATTCCCGATCGACAGACAACACAATACGACGCCACCTCGAAAAGAGTGCAGTCGAGTCGAAAAAGTAAATCGAGTCATCAATTAAATGCAATGACATATAATTTTCCGTGACATACAGAGAGAGAGAGAGAGAGGGAGAGAGAGAGAGAGAGAGAGAGAGAGAGAGAGAGAGAGAGAGAGAGGAGAGAGAGAGAGAGAGAGAGAGAGAGAGAGGAGAGAGAGAGGAGAGAGAGAGGAGAGAGAGGAGAGAGAGGAGAGAGAGGAGAGAGAGGAGAGAGAGGAGAGAGAGGAGAGAGAGGAGAGAGAGGAGAGAGAGGAGAGAGAGGAGAGAGAGGAGAGAGAGGAGAGAGAGGAGAGAGAGGAGAGAGAGGAGAGAGAGGAGAGAGAGGAGAGAGAGAGAGAGAGAGAGAGAGAGAGAGAGAGAGAGAGAGAGAGAGAGAGAGAGAGAGAGAGAGAGAGTGAGTGAGTGAGTGAGTGAGTGAGTGAGTGAGTGAGTGAGTGAGTAAGTGAGTGAATGAGGGAAACGAGCGGCTCACGAGGATGCACAGCAGATGCTCTACAGTGAGCGTGGCGGTATACTCGCATAGTTCTCGCGGTCTACCCGGACTAATTCAGCAGTTGACAAGCAAGTCCGTTACGGTGCGGCCAATATCGTGGTCGACGATTGTGTAGGATGATCATAAAATCTACAAATGGCTAATCTCGTACGCCGGAGATTGTCACATGGTAATCCGCAGGACGCGTCCTTCTTGCGTAAGTCCGTCGTCGTCGCCGACGACGGCGGCCAACTCAAACGGGCGGCTCGGTTATCCGTAATTAAAAAAAACCGAGCGAGCGCGCGAAACGCGCGGAGGAAGCGCGCTAGAAGCGCTCGGAGAACACTTTCTGTGTTCGATTCGCACCTCGAGATGGGAGACAATAGGAGGCAATAGGAGAGTTTTAATAGGGAAATTCGAGATGCGCTGAACCGGGTGAAAGAGAAAGAGAGAAACAGAGAGAAAGGAAAAGAAAGAAACAATGGGTGCCGGATCGCCAGCAGCCATCCCGACTCAAAATGATACGTCGAGTAAGCGGATCCCTCGTCCATGTGCCTTTTTAGATTTTTCCGTGCGAATCTGTCGTAACGCAATAATCGATAGTCAATGACCGTTCCTGTCTCGTATGTGCGAGATAAGAGAACGAAGAAGCAAAAAAGAAAAGAAGGAGAAAAAAACGAAGAAGAAAAAAGAAAAAGCTACCAACGAGCGACTCTCCTCGACGATTTTTTCGCGTCGTCGTCGTCGCCGCGTCGTCGCGTTCCCTCTCTCTCTCTCTCTCTCTCTCTCTCTCTCTCTCTCTCTCTCTCTCTTTCTCTCCTCCTTCGTGCTGCGCGAGAAATTTGAAAGGAGCGGCGGTAGTTTTGCGTTATTTCAATTTTTTATAGGGTCGCCTTACGCGACCATTTCCCCCTACGAACGTACGCTGTGTCATGATCATTCGCAGTTTCATTTTATCTCCCACTCGCGGTGCAAGAACAGAGGCAGAGCGAAAACGAAAGAGAGATGACGGGAGGGAGCTCGGCGGCACGTCAATCTCGCCGCAACCTTTCGCCCGATTTGTGTTTTTATTCCTTTTTTACCGACAATTTGGTTCAACGATATCTACGCCGCTACGGAGAACTGAGTTCGATTTTTCCCAATAAATAAATCCCCGGTGTCGACGGGGTATTTTGCATTTTGCACGGTTCCGCCGAAACTATCCGCCGACCCTCTCTCGACCGCTCGTACGAACGAGCTCGCGGCCATCGTCTAACATCGTCTGATTACCGGGTGAATTCGCTAATTAAATTTAACACAGTTCCCCGATTTGTAGTCGCGACTCTGCGAATTGTGTCCCTCGCTTGCAGGCAAAAGTCCCCCCGGGTGGACTCTTTCTTTTTTATCGAGCTCGTAAAAACGAAAGAAAGAAAGAAAGAAAGAAATTGCTAAATCTCGGGGACGAGTCATCATGAAGATCCGAGGAAAGAGAAACAGTCAGGACGATATAACACATCGATTCGTTTACTCACCGGATAATCATCGTATTTGGTCGAATAATCGGGATAATCGACGTTGGCGATGCCGTTGGCCGCGCTTCTCTTGCCGATGGCGCGTTGCCCGAAACTGCCGGTGATTATCGGTACCATCGCTATCACGACCAGCGGGACGACGTTGACGCCCATATTAACCGCGCAATCCTGAGCAATCCGGCCGCAGGATCCGTGCGTTCTCCGCCGGGAAGAAGACGTTCGCGCGCCTCGCGGACTGCGTTGGTGCGATAGCGAAGGACGCTATCGCTGGGAAGAGAATCGCCCTCAAACGACCCCGAACGACGTTTGGTCCCGCTGACAACGCTGACGATCGACGACGTAGAGAGCGTTCCTCGAGTCGGGCGAGTCGAAAGAGGCGCCCCGCGCTTCCTGCGAGCCCGCTCGATCCCGATCGATTCTCGATCGAGCGCAAAGAGCGTCCCCCGTGTCGTCTTCGAGGAACGACGGCGACGATTACTGGCTGGCGGAGACGCGATCCCTCGGGGCTCCCTTCGGGCACCGACCACCACCAAAGAACTCTCCAACTTCGGCAAAGCTGAAGGACGTACTCGGGAACGCAATGTGACGGCGATAGGCAGCTACGCTCCTATATACTTGCCTGCACGCGTGGTCGGCATCACGCAGGCGCCGGGGACCCTCCGCGACGGAAGAAACCGCGCGCGGCTACCACAAGCGCGTCCTATTGTGCTTCTGTCGTGAATACGTAAAGGAAGTTAGTAAAGGAAGTAAATCGAGTGAGCTACACTCACTTTTACTTTTCGTTAACATGCTTTAGCCCGCCAGTGTTAACACTTCTATGTTACATTGCATGCGCGTGCGCGCGCGCGCGCGTGTGTGTGTGTGTGTGTGTTTGTGGTGCGCGCGATGTGGGTACAAAATACTCGGTCCTTATGGATACTTACGTACGTCACACACACATGTGATGTATGAATTATAATAATAACCTTTTTGACACATTTTCTTCGTGTAATGCAAGGAAGCGCGTCTAAGAAATTTAAGACGCTTGAGAGCGGTCGGCTGACGAGAATCTTTCAAACATAGTCCGGTAACGAATAAGCGCGTTGATAAAGAAGGTAATTTTCTTTGCCTCTCGCGTGACTACGAACATCACATCGTATCCCGAAGACGAAGAGCAGCGCTCAATTACGAAGGGTGGATAAGTTGAGTAGCAAAGTACTTGCGCTTATCTTCCTTAATAGTGAATAACGGAAACTTTTGCTTCTTTTCTGCGCAAGATAAAACGCGTTGCATATTCTGCGAGGCTGACCTGTATGAAGTACTTACAGAGGCGGAGAATAAGCGAGACATTTACCTGCTGCTTTGACAAAAGGTAATTGGGAGATTCTCCTACCATCGCGAAGATGTCATCAAGATGTGAAGCTGGTTTGCGTAAATTTTACGCGAGGCTGTAGAGGCGACGAACGCGCCAGCTGACGAGCTGTTTCAGTTTGTTCTTTGACGAGACAGAATCGAAATCCTTTTTCCCAAAAAGACGACGAACATATACTGAACCCATATGAGATCTTTGATCATCTCTCTATCTAAAAGAAAGAAGCAGGAGAAAAAGAATGACGGATAAGCACAGAACTAAGCTTTTATGTCGTCGAGAAAAAAGAAAATTGCGTCGCGAAAATTTGATATTTCGCGTATTTCGCCGAAAAAATGTCCGCTACCTCACCAATATCCTCACGATCAAAGCGTAATTTCGTGTTTTTTCAGGCTGGTCTATTTGGAGCGGCACCATTATCTCAGCGAGTCAAATTAAAGAGAACCAGAACGCGCCGTCGAAATATCAGTTAACCATCACTTCCGTTTTTCGTCACCGCATGCGGATCGATGTCTCGCGCGATGTCTCCTCTGTAATTTTACAGTTTGCAGTTTGCAATATATATATATATATATATAGTATGTGTGTAGATATACGTGTAGATTCCTGACGATTTAACAGGTTCAGCTGGGAATAGAGAGATGTGACAAAGTCGATGATTGAGTGGAATACAGATATAACTCTAAAGCGAGATAGAAGTTCGCGCCCCTGTTTGATATCCGACTCTTCATTTTTCGCTGAATTATCGATCGTTGCTTGTGTAACTGACAAATCGTAACGTCGCCGGCGCGTCGCATAAAAATTAAACGCGCGAAGAACACTCGTAAAATACAATAACAAAGAAAAAAACAGAGAGAAACAGAGATCGGAAAATTCATTCGCGATATCACGCGTTCAAGCGTCAACAAAATTAATTTAAAACGTCGCGTTCCATCGCGTTTGTGACGCGCGCGCAAATGAATCTCATCATAAGTATAAAGATACGACTAGTTCTGACTGCTAATCAGAATGTTTTTCGATCGCTCAAAAGATGAAACGGCTAGACTTTGCTGTCGCAAAAGTACACTCTCGAGTGAGAGCGACCGAGGTGCGCGAGATAGGGTGTACTCTGTGTGAGGGGAATCGCGGAATCTAATTCTCCGGGGTTGTTCGCAAGTCCTGTTCGAAAGTTCGTTGCCGTTTGCCGTGGTGCGACGCCGTTTCCGACGCGTACCTACCGCGTCCTCTCATTAACGAGATGGACGTCAGGACGCAGTGCGCGGCCTGACTCGACGCGTCGTTCGCAATTATCCACAAAATGGTCGTGTTTTATCGAGCGTCCTCCGTCTTTCAGTTGGCTTCGAGGCTTGAGTTATATCCCGTGAGTGGGAGTTATTGCCGGTGAGCATGAGTTAGAATTCGAAAACGCGAGAGCGGGCGAGCTGTCGTCGTTGTCGAGCTGCCGCTCTCGCGAACAGGTTAAAGGCTAATCATTTGTCAGGACGTCGAAGCTGCACCACCACGCGCCAATGGTTCGCACGCCTCCGTCCGTTGTCGCCTGCGACGACGGCGACGACCATTTTCTCTTGGCGAAATTATTCGAATCGGCGATTTCTCATCGTCGGATTTACTCCTAGGACACGAGCGCGCTACGGGGCACTCGTCTCTTCGGCGAAGTGCCTAGAATCGCTTTATCCGTCAGTCTCATCAGCGAGTCAGAATAATCAGCGAGAAAAAGAGAGCAGACTTGGAGGAAAGATGTCACATTTTTGGTACAAGAATGAGGATTATAAGGGGGCGTTAGGATTGCGTTCGGATAACACGATTGCTAAACGAAGAATCTGCGATCGCCTGTGAAGCAAATGATCCGCCCCAAATTGTTAAAAAAATCTTTTCGGTAAATATGCACGTAAGGTCAACCTCCTCCATGAAAAGTCCATGACCTTGACATATGTTGTTAAGGACATGTTCCTAAGTGTTATGCAAAAAGTTGCAGCCGTCGTTCATTGTTTATTAAAATGATTATTAACAAAAGAAGTTGAATAGAATGTACATGATTTTCGAACAACGTGTACATATTTTACTATTATAAAATAATCTGCGGATAATCTGTCGGATAATACATCTTGAATATAACATTAAATCTCGAGTATATATTAAAAAATATTAAATAATACACATACATATAAGCGGGGGAGGGGCTCCGTCTCTCCTTCAAAACCCCTTCCCCAAGGAAATCCTATTGTAACCGATATTTATTGTATTTTTATATATTGTTAGATGTTGAAAAAATTAAAATCTTTAAATCTTTAACCTACACTGAACAATATATGAAGATGCAATAAGTTGGTTAGGATTTTCTCTGGGAGGGGGGCTACGCCCCTGCCTGCTTATATATACTGTGTTTTAAAGTAACCTCCTGCAAGTTTTAGGTATTAAATATACACTGTGTCGAACAATTACGCTCGATTAATGAAGCTTCTTTTGTTAATAACTTTTTAATAAACAATGACCGCCGGCTAAAATTTTTTATAAGTTATTCAGGACTGTGTCCTTGATAATGTATATGAAGTTGAAGATCATCGGCGAGGCATCCCTTAACTGCATGCATAATTACCGAAATTTCTTTTGTTAATAACTTTTCAATAAACAATATGGCTGCATATAAACAGCGATGGCTGCAATTTTTTGCATAACACTCAGGAACATGTCCTTGACAACATATGTCAAGGTCAAGAGCTTTTAAGGAGGTTGACCTTATGTACATATTTATCCAAGCATTTGTACGATGCCTTCGAAACAGTGTGAGTTGCGAGAAGAGCGAAGGAAGTTCCCCTTTCGGAGGTCGCATCTTCGGCGTCGAGACGCGACAGGTGTTTTGCGGCGAAAAAAAATCGATTTAATTAAGAGCCCGCCAACACGTCACGTACGACCGATAATTAACGACCAATAACTTTCGGTTCGCTTGGCTTCTACGTGATGAACGACTGCTCGCTCCAACATTCTTAGAACGTTATCCTGTCCTCGTTATACGTTGCTCGAGTTTGCACGTGTAATCCCGTCGTTCGCAGCATCGTGTTGACATTCCCGGTTAGGTTCACAGCTTCCTTTCCTAGCTCGCGTTTACACCGAGGTTCCTGAACGCATACAACTGCAGATTCAAGTGTGTTAGTTTTGTACACATGAGCGTGTGATTCGGCTGAAAGACTTTCCATACGTTTCTTGCCGTTTGAAGTCGCATCATTTTTTACATGTATTTAATTATTTAGTTATTACGTGTTGTTGAATTAAATTACAAAATTAAATCAAATTATAATTTAACATATTTCGGTGTGATGTAAATGGCGTGATTTAAAACGGCAAGAAGGGTGTAGAAAAATCTTCGAGCAAAATAACACACTTAAGCCCATATTCTGAATCCTCTTTTATCTCTCTAAAAGGGACTCTAAAAATGGCTTACAGCCAATCAGGAGGCTTATAAGCCACTTTTAAAATCATTTTAGCGATAAAAGAGAGTTCAGAAAATGAGCCTCGGAGTACAGCGGACGTGCTTAAATAAGACGCCCTTTTAATGACAAGTTCCGTTTCTCTTATACGTCACGTGTAACGTTGTTTCAGCTTGAGTATCAGAAAGGCATACTTACAGCGTTCGATACGCGTCACGCGTCCACAACGGGCTATTGGATTTCCGGATAGAGCGAACGGTGTCTTTGTCTAAATCACGCCGCCACTATTGAGAGGTCTGTCCGAACGGAACGCTGTCTACCATCTGTGGACATTAAACTGCTCATTAGATGATTAGCGGGCGCACAATTAATTAGCTAATTACGGTGTCGCGAGATATCTCGATTTAATTCATGTGCGCGCGTGCACGTAAACGTGATTTTCGCTTTGGGGTCGTCGCTTAATCCGCGCCCGCCCCGTTCTGGCGAACCGCTGTCGCGACGGGACGAGCGAGGCGGCGAGTTATTTGCGCGTTGTTGCACGATTCGCGCAATATAATCCGTAAGTTTAAACCTCTACTTCGTCTGTGCTCGGTGCTTTTAATTGCGAAAGAGCGAACGACACGAATCGCGTTGGCATGTTTCCGCGATTCTGACAATCGCGTTCTTGCTTTCGATTACCGGAGACGTCTTCTCTCCGGCTAATCTCTCGGATCATTTAATGTTCCCGCGACGTCGCGAGCTTGCCATGTTATTTCAGATAGATATTCTTTCTTCGATTCACACACGGTCGAGAGAGATGCTCACCGCGATGATACGAGGGGAAGCATCGTCGATT